CTCCCCGGAAAATTCTACCCCTATTTCATATACTTTTGGTAAAAATTCGGTTCAGGGGTTTGGGCTGGGCGTTGATGAGTCAGTCAGTCAGTCAGAACAATCGTGAAAAAAACACATTTTACCCCTTTTCACCCCCTTAGGGGTGGAATTTCTAAAAATCCTTTCTTAGTGGATGCTTACGTCATGAGAGGAATACACCCTCCAAATTTCAAGTCTCTAAGTTCAGGGGTTTGGCCTGGGCGTTGATGAGTCAGTCAGTCAGTCAGTCAGTCAGTCAGTCAGTCAGTCAGTCAGTCAGTCAGTCAGTCAGTCAGGACATCTTCCTTTATAGATATAGATATATATATATATATATCGAACTTCGGAACACCCTGTGTAGATGACTATAATAAATACACATCAATAAGAGCAAACTTAATATAATTTAAAAAATGTTAAAATTAATATATCCCGGATCCGATTTTGCGCTAACTACAAATAGATTAAGTCTAAATAAATGTTAAACAAATGTTCTTCAAATCAATTTTTTTTTATTATTTATTAATGTAAAATAAATATTAAATTAATATTAAATAAATGTTAAATAATTGTTTTTTTTAATCATTATTTAACATCGTAATTAACGTAAAATAAATATTAAATTAATGTTTAATAAATGTTAAATAAATGTTTCTTCAAATCATTACTGCAAAGGAATAATTAACGTTACGTAAATATTAAATAAACGTTACATAAACATTAAAAAACTATTTTCTCTAAATTATTAGTTCAAACAAATAATTAATGTAAAATAAATATTTAATAAATGTTAAAAAATATTTTTTTTACAATAAATTGTACAATGTATAAATTAATGAAAAATAAATATTAAAAGAACATTAAAAAAATATAATCTGCTACTTGGGTGTGCTCCCAGTGTGCCCCCTACTTACTGTCGACGTAGTTCTACGTCAATAAATTGTTTATACAATTTATTGAAAGATTGTATAATTTTGTGATAATTGAAATAATCCAATCATTTCAATACGTAATTACTTTCCTCTCTCAGGTATTAATCGGTCCGCACGTTGAAATCAATAACGCACTGCGTATGTATTCCTGTATATTTTTGAATTGAAATTTTTAAATGCCAATTATCTCTATTTTACAATACAATTTTCCATTCTGAGCTCTAAGCTCTTAATTATTCTTTATTTTATCAACATTTACGTAAGAATTATGAAGAAAACTGCGGTAAAAGCGATAATTATATCTGACAAATATATTACGTATTAGTACATTTCCATAATGGTGCGTGTCCACTTGCGAGTAAGAACTCTCGAGAGCAAAAAGAGAGAAAGAGAGAGAGACTCTTGAGAGTATCTCTCTCTCTCTCTTTCTTTTTGCTCTCGAGAGTTCTTACTCGCAGGTGGAGACGCACCATAACTGCAGTATAGGCATCAAATAAGTAGGTATTTGATTAACGAAGCACAGTTTTATTTATTAATTTTATAAGACATTAGTTATTTCAATGCAAAGCGGATGCAAATACTTATCGGAAAGATGCCAACACTGTAAAATAGGACATTGACGTCTGCACTATCTGAAAAAATAAGAGATATTATAAAACTTACAATACTTAATTAAATATAGCATTATATATACATATATAAATAAGATATTAATTAATTAATTAATTAATTGATTAAATTTTTGTTTTATTATTTGTACCGTACAAAAGTTCTCCAGCGACATTACGAATAGTTTTCCAGCCATTATCTTGCACGGTATACGGCTTCTTATCAAGATCAGTACAATGTCCTTCTGTATCTGGACAGGCATATTATACCAGAAACATGAATACCTGCAAATCTTGCGCTTTTAATATCCGATGCATCGGCAACAATTGCGCTCCGATCACTCACGTTGATCCGTGAACGTTCGAGCTTTGGTCCAGTAGATATTGCGCCATTAAGCTAAGAAAAAACAAGTGAGTCAGTTGGCCACATATGAACATAACGCACGTCGCCATCACGTCCCATTGGAATAGCCTGCTCACTAACTAAAAAAGAAAAGAAAGAAAAGTGAGGTATTCGATCGCCGTAATTTCCATCTTCATTCAGACTTACTTGAACTGCAGTGATACTTATGATGAATAGGTTTAAGCCTAATAAGACGAGGAAACACCATGTATAAATGCAGTGCAATAGTTGCACACAACTGATTAACAAAGAGATTGTTTAAGATATATTTAAGAAATCTAAAGTAACGTCGTATCAAAAATATATTTTATACAGTATTATATTTTAATTCCATCGAGATTATGATTATATACAGTGTTTCTTATTAAATGTGTTTTACTTCAGCTCGAATCTTTAATCAATCTTTTTCTCTCTACGAAAAGGAGATACGTTTAGCAAGGAACGTACCGTCCTGTATATGAATATATATATATATATTTTACCAACTGTATTGCTCTTTGATGATTAATGACGCATTCTCTCACGACAGCAGCTTGCTCTTTTAATCTTAATTGTCGATCTTCATATTTTACGTAGCATTCAACATTATAATTATGATTCTCGAGAGATTGCATGGTGTGCTTTTTTATCGAATCGACAACGTGCTCCAATTTGTGTCTGCAGGTCAAACGATGGTAATTGTTTAGATGAGGGAGATCACCTTGGATGATCTTGATATTTTAGTATGTTGTCAAGGTCACTCTCCTGAGTGACTTTCATAAGGTTTCAGCCCGCGCTCGTTATTCGTTAAAAAGTTATTAACAAAAAAAGTTTGGAGAATAGAGAGTATGTACTTTTAAAGCGGGTCAACTAACCTATGTAGATTAGTGACGCGCTTTAAAAGTATTTAAATGTTTAAAGCGCGTCAAGTAATCTATATGTAGGTTATATAGTGACGCGCTTTGGGAGTTCGCTTTGAACGGCCACGAGAGACGGACGTGTGTGCCCTCTGCTCGCGTAGTTCTTTTGCACGCTCGCGCGTAGTACTTGCTGGTGTCCTGAGCGGAAGAGGAGTGCCTGGGGGGTGTTGCGGGGAGAGAACTTTTCTCGGGAGGGCCCTTATTATTAATACTTATTGCTCCCCCCCTCGGAGGGGGAGGGCTACTAATTAATTTAGATCTAGATCATGGGATCGTCGGATCCTGCTGACACGCAATGTGCACGTGATAACCTCCGTGCCGCAGACAAGGAGTCGAAAAACAGCGCTAAAAGACTGCGCACAAGTGCGCCTGAGATGGATTTGGATAGAATCTCCTAAGAGTTTAGGAAATCGGAGGCATTGGATGCGGAACGGACTACAGCCAAGAACCGAAGAGACCTTGCAAAACAGCAGAGGGACGAGGAGATACACAAACGGCGTCATTTAGGAACCGAAATTGACACGGAAATATTAACGCTGGACGAAGAGATGGACGTGGAGGATAACGCCTCGGGCAGTAATGAAAAGGAAGGTCGCGAACTTTTTGTAAACAAAGCGATCTCGAACTTAAGTAGCGATATTACTGACTATAACTCACCGACTCTCGATGATCACGTGAGCTCAGAGAAAGTGCCTCGTGACAATACAATGAACAGCGACATGCTGACCCAAGACAAGGAGTCTTATAATATTATAGACTCTACTTTAAGAAAAAACTTGCCTGGCAACAATGATGACAATGTACGATATGTAAGATTCGGAGATGATCACAAGGGTAATGCTAGAATTATATTACGTCTTCCTCCCGAACAAACCACTACTACT